AAAAGGCGGCTGAATAAGTGCAATAACCGATCTCGGTTAGGTGCTCGTTTATAGCAGCTTCGTGGCAACACTTGAAAAATGTGTACACACACGTAATTATGGCTATAAAATGAACTTGTATGATTGTGCCTCTTTCCAAATTGGTACTAATGTTCAATAAATTTCAGATGAATTCCTTAAAAATAAAATGAATTCAGAACAGCCTACATTATTGACACATAACTTCTAGGAATGTCCCTGCAGGGAAAACAGGGCTGACTGAGAATGTAAACAAACCTGAATATATTAGTTCTATTTATGGAAGCAAATAAGAGTTCATAGATGTTTATGAAGTTTCCTATCATGAATAGTCCTGATTAAGTGTGAGACTCCTATTGGACAACAGTTTGAGTCTTTCATTTGGAATTAAAAAAAAATAAATTAAACATTTTACACTGTAAAATGATTTCTAATCACAACAATTTTTCTTTTGTCAAATAAACTTAAAAATATGTATGTAGTTCAGATAACATAATATTTTGAGTTTCTGATAATTAAATAAATCTCCTTCATTGTTTTAACTCAATTTTTCCATTTCAATGAACTTAAAATTTTAAGGCAACCAGGCTACTTATTTTCTTAAGTTAAACCAACAATATACAGTATTTTTACAGTATAATATCTAAACAACCAAAATGACTTTTTGAAAACAAGCCCTTTCCCTCAGCATTTGTATTCATTAGATTCAGACTGAGGTTAGAGATAATTAACCTTTAATAGCTTTGTTGTGTGCATATTTAAATATGGAAATGGTCCCACATACGCACACTGCAAATTCACATCTGCATATATCTGAATAAAATGACCACAATGGGATTGAAAACATCTTTGTGCTTATTCTCAAGTGCATTAAAGCAAGGTGCACTTGAAAGCGATTTTAAACTATACCAACCCTTCATCATTGTGTTGTGTTGAGCTGTGAAGAAGATAACATGGCGACAGCTCTGTTTAAGCTGCTGTTTAGAAAGCTTAGTGCCGATATTCACTAACCCACATACACACTGATAAAGTCTCCTCTAACAAAGGGGAAAATGGCAGTCTAGCCATTCTTTAAACTTATCTACCTAATTACACCCAACACAATAGAAATTAGATAAACCTTGCTTAATTTGATCATGTTTCAGCATTCATCTAAAATCTGTGATCATCCTAGCAGGCTCTCGCATAAACATTCATAAAATAAACATCGGCTAGATTCATGGTGCCCAATCCTCTGCCTTTTCATTGAACAAATTGGAAAATTAATGGTTTTCACCCAGATCGGGATACCACGGTCTCCTTCCATAATTACTGGCTGGAATAACTCACACTCTGGCAAGTCCTTACCTCATATTCTGTTATAGTGGCCAAAGCTTTAAGATGTGCCTAAAACTGACAGTGTCTATAATGGATTACATGAAACATAAGTAGATTGGCAATGTCAGTATTAAATCATGAAGCAAATGAAAGGAAATCAAGGAGAGCAAAAAAGGAGGGGTATTTTTGATTTTTCTTCATTTCTTGTTGTAACAACAGTTGATTGTATCTGTTTTTGTGTGTGAATCAGTAACCACTAAAACATTGTAATCAAAGTCTTTGTGTCGGGCCAAAATAAATGATATTCATTCAGTGCATGTGTGACATTCTGTGGATCTGATATGTATCTTTTATGTTACGCCGTTTTTTTTTCTCTCTGACCATTATTGCATTCTTTATCTATTTCCATTTTCACTTTTTGTGGTTTCCTCCCCATTTATTTGTATTATACTTCATGCTCTCTCTCTCTCCCTGGTTGATCCACAAAATATCTAATAGTCCTTTTCATCTTCAGTTATTCTTTCTTGCTAATGCTCATGCTGGACTTTTAATTGAAGTGTTGAATGCAAAAGATGCATTCCTCACAACTGCGATGTTTATCGCTCAGATGTCAGCCAAACGTATGTTAACTGAGTGCATAGCTTTAGCGAGCCTTGTTTGCCCTTGCACCCCCCTCTTTCTTGTCCTCCGCCAGCTGTGTTTGAGGTGGATGTCCAGTATCCGGCTGTTGTAAAGCCATTCTCTTCACACCAGGGTGGAAGCCTCTCCTTTGAAAACTAGCAGATTAATGTCAAGGTGATATCCCTCAAGCATCTGTCATAGTCAAAGTGGAACATGTCAAACCAGTGAAAATAAAGGTTGTCAAACATTATAGGTTGTTTATTTATGGTTGACGACAAACCAGTCTTAAAGTCAAAAGCTAATTCTCATGTCTTTTACAGAGGCTTGACTGGCAATGGCACCTTATATTCTACTTTTTTGGAAAAAAATTCTTTCTTTCTTATGTGTTCACTCCAACAATTTTAACTGATATGGCAATTGGGTTGAATTGATATGCAATATGTACTGTGATACCCCATATGTACATGTGATAAGCGAGCAATGTTTCATAGAAGACAGTTTTTTGTTTTTATTATAGCCTAATGACAGTTAATGAGTTGACAGTTAATGAGTACTAAGCTTGTACTTTTTGTTTTTCTATGTAAACATGCTAGACAACAGTTGTGCTTGTGTCTTATTGTGTCTTGTATGACAGCTGCATTTTGCAAGTTCAACTTTTAGAAAACAGGTCTCATAACTCTTGCCTATATTTCTTTTCCATTTTACTGCCGGGTCCCATGATTTTGGATGCAAAAATGCATTCTGTGAACATACCCTCAAACAGTCCCAAATTTGCAAACGTGCAGTCATTTTGAATCAAAATAGGCAATAGGCTGTAGGAATTTTGACATTAAGATAGAATAGTGCAATGCCTATGCAAAATCAGTTCCAAAAAGAATTGCTTTTTTTTTTCTAAAAGATTTGCTAGTTGTTGTTTTTTTTCAAAAAGAATCACTACTTTTTTCTAAAAGAATCACTACTTTTTCAAAAAGAATCACTACTTTTTTCAAAAAGAATTGCTGCTTTTTATAAAAAAGAATCGTTACTTTTTCCAAAAAGAATCGCTCCTTAAACGCTACTTTTTCAAAAAGAATCACTACTTTTTTCTAAAAGAATCACCACTTTTTCAAAAAGAATCGTTACTTTTTCCAAAAAGAATCGCTCCTTAAACGCTACTTTTTCAAAAAGAATTACTACTTTTTCCAAAAAGAATCGCTACTTTTCACAAAGAATCTACTTTTTTTTTCAAAAAGAATCACTAGATTTTCCAAAAAGAATCACTAGTTTTTTTCCCAAAAGAATCGCTACTTTTTTCTAAAAGAATCACTACTTTTTCAAAAAGAATCGCTACTTTTTCCAAAAAGAATCGCTCCTTAAAAAAACGCTACTTTTTCAAAAAGAATCACTAACTTTTTCCAAAAATAATCGCTACTTTTTCAAAAGAATCTACTTTTTTCCAAAAAGAATCGCTACATTTTCAAAAAAATCGCTACTTTTTTTTCCCTAAAAAGAATTGCTACATTTTTCAAAAAGAATTGCTACTTTTTTCAAAAAGATTTGCTACTTTTTACAAAAAGAATCGCTACCTTTTCACAAAGAATCACTACTTTTTTTTCAAACTAAATTTTAACAGGGCTTGAGTTGAAACATGTTACATGCAGGACTGGTATGTAGGCTAGTCAGGTCATAGTAGCATGAATTTGATCAAATTTTGTCTTAAATTGATAATGTGGGCTCAGCCCCTGATATTGGCACACACACAAAAAAAATCCACAAGTTTTTTCCACTTACAGACCTGTAGGGGTTAGGATTTGGCATCCAGGTCAGACTCAAACCTGCAGGGTCTCCATGTGAGCCAACATGTGCTAAGCATGTGCACAGTTCACTGCTTCACAGACTAGAACTAGTCCAAAGCTGTGTCCGAAATCACATACTCTCTTGAGTAGGTAGGCCTATAATTTTGAATAAGTAGCCTAATTACTTCATGACCGCTAAAAAAAAGTATGTATTTAATATGAATGTGTGAAGTATATGTAATCTGGACTACATTTGCCATGTTGTCAGTTACGCTGAAATTCACAAATCGTCTCCCGTGATCTCATGGGATAGTAAAGTGTCCATCGTATGCGCACTTCAGAATCCCGCCGGAAGCAGTCGGTCATCCGGGTAGTTTTTGCCTACACTTTTATGAGTACTGGCAATTCAGATAAGGCCTATACCATACTTTTGTTACTGTCACATACTGTTTTTTTTGCCTACTATAGTAGGAAGATGCGATTTCGGAGGCAGCCCAAGTGTCAGTGATATGTTATAGCTTTCACTCCTAACTGGGTTTCTCAGTGTGGAAAATGGTGTGTGGAAAACCTGAACTGGAGTGGAATGATTACTGATTGCTTTGAGAGGAGGAGGAAATATCATCACTCCACTCCACTTCCAGACATGCTTTCAATCTGTGTGTTGCTTGGTAGCCACTCAAAGCTTGACCCTTTGGCTATTTTCTGACTATTTTTGTTTACAGCAGAAAAAGCACTGACTGGTCCATTTTTCTTTTTGTTTTGTCTAAAACATGTTATTGGATATAAATTGTGTTTATAGAACTGTTAAAAAACAATATCACACTTACAATAGGCCAAGTCACAGGTGAATATTTTGAATGTAAATTTGATGACTAGCCTACATTAAATTCATGGAAAAAATTAAATTGCCCATGTTTCCCACTAATGTCACAATCCATCCAGTAGTTTGAATAGTTTGTAACAACTTACCATTAATTAATACTTTCCATTAATTTACACAAATAGTAGATTGCTAAACTACTTTGAGCTGTACTTAGATATAGAAAATGCATATATAATTTTGGGACACATAACGCAAACAACAACACTGAATTACAGATGAAAAACAAAATGTGTTCTTTCTAATGTGCATTCATGCATTTAATTGTTTAGGTCTATTATATTAACCCAAAAAACAAAAATCAGTAATCGCAAGGGTTCATAATATTCCAGGCTTGGTTTAACAGACATAACCCTGCATTGAGTGTGACAGTGTGGGGAGTTAGACTGCAGCGCTGATCATTGTGCCTCACACTTTCAAACTCGTCATTTCACAACACTGAGGCGAGGAAACGAGCCAGCGCTATCAACACTGCTGCCCCGAGGGCTCTTCCTACTCAAGTCCTGAGAGCAACAGAGGAACCTGGGAATACCACTGCAAAATGAAGAACACTATCGATTCGAAAACATTTGCGAGCTTCTCGTTTTTATCGTTTGTGCCTCGATAAACTGGTTGACGGATAACATCAGACATCGCAGCGCTGAGATAAAGACGGATCTTGCCTTTAAAATTATCGGAACAGGAGACATCATGCAAGGACGACAGCAGAGCTTCACCGCGAGTTTTACATCGTTGTATAGCCTTAAATAAAAAAGTCGTAGGCTATTACTGATCAAAAGCACGACTGCACGCGCTTCAGTCGCAGACCCATCCCGGTTCCGCAAAGAAACTCAACCCAAAAGTGTGGAAGAGCTCCATGCATTCAAAAAGGTGGGTTCCCGGTGATTTGTTGACTAATTACTTCTAAAATTATTTTTTATATCCTGCAATGGTTAGTTTATGTGAAGACATCCTCTTATAAAAGGTAGGCTATAGGCAGCCAATATATCGCCAGCATCTTATCACCGAGTCGTCAAGTCTACATCACATAGCCTACGTGTATGTTTTGGCTTCAAGAATAGTCTAAAAAGTAAAGATTGTATTTTTTTGCATTAATTCGAATACTAGGTTTTTAGATGTCAAGCTATTGCTAATGAATGTTATTGTGCTCTAACTCTAAATCTGAATATTTTAGCATCTGTCACGCTAGAAATTATCCACACGCTTTTGATGATCAATTCAACTCACAAATTGTTAGACTACATCGGAGCTGGGTTGGCTTCACAACATCATCTGTATCTTCTCATTAAAGATAAGGTGCCATAATGCCATATTTTGGCTTTTATGTAGCCTACCTACATTCAAATTATTTTCTCTAATCTGAAATGAAAACAGGCATCACTATTCTGTTAAACTGTAAATATGCATGAGGAGGATATCTCTCTCTGGAGATATCATTCATTCTCAACCACTGTGCAAGCGCCATCTATTGGACTGCAACAGCTGACCACTAAAAACACAACCATTACATACATCCCTCTTTATCTAGGACCTTTCAATTACCTCAACCTGCCAAAATCTGACTATTATAATCAGATTGCTTTAATAATTAGCTTTTATTATAGATGGGAAGCATCCTTCATGTTCACACAAATAAAAATATCAGTCCTAGTAAGATTACGTATTATAGGGTGAATTCAGGTTGCTTGGGGCACTTTCAATAATTCACATTTCAGCAGTGCATCTTACGATTGCCAATGCAGGAAAGGTAATTTTGGGAGTTTGAAAAATGAGGGAAATGCAGTGACATGAAGCTTGTTATTATTAACTGGTGTTTTTAGATGTTTTGAAAGCCCTGGGTGTTGATGACAGTGTTGATGATGATGCTTAGGTGGATGCATTTATGTTGACAGACAGACCACTGTAGAAAAGGTGATCATATTCATGTGCTGTTGCAGTTTAGTTGTGGTGGTATAGGGCTTCTCTTCCATTTTGACAGAAGCTTCTTATCAGTTTACTTATCAGTCTGCCATTTGTCTTAAAAGGCATATATTCCCAATGCAATTAAAAAAACTGATTCTCTCTTTTGTATTTAAGTGATCCTTTAACATGGGGTTTCTAATACTGCTTTTGAGGGTCACTGTCCTGCTGAGTTTAGTTCCATCCTCAATTAAACAGACCTGAACCAAGTTAACCAAGGTAATCAAGGTCTTCAGGATTACGAGAATCTTCCAGGGAGGTATGTTGAGACAAGTTGGAGCTATACTCATGTTGGCCCTTCACAACCAGAATTGAACACCCCTGCTTTAAGCCTTTACAAAAAACAAACTCAATGTAAGCATTTGTGTTGGACAGTCTAAAGAAACAAACTGTAAAAAAAAAATCATAAAAAATTAATTACATAAATAAATACTGTTAAAATACATTTTACAGTTAGCCTATATGTGTGGGGAAAAAGGAGCTCTATTTTGACAAAAAAAGAAAAAATGGGCTGTTTTCCCATGACAACGTATGTTCAAATATAGTGATTATATGAGACAGCCATTTTATTTATTATCTTAATTTTGGATTTATTAACAAAAGGATTATTTGATTATAATGTACACTAAACATGGTTAAACAGCATTGGTCATGTGACTATTTACACCGGCCACACTAAAGATAAAATCAAAACAAGACCGTCTTTAGCCTAATGGACAACTCTGTTTAAAACACACCTTACCTTACATAGACCTTGTATATATATATATATATATATATATATATATATATATATATATGCACAAATGGGATTAAGTGGGTAATTGGGTCTGTGTAGGACTTAAATTAATGCTATTTTATTATCATGCTCTGGTAAAATATTCTGTTAATATTCTAAAAACTTCTTAAATTTACATATTGTTTTAAATATATTTCACTTGCACTTTATTTTACAGTCCTGATACGTAGCCTACTTATTAGCCTATACTATTTATTACTGAATTGTAAGGTACTAACCTAACCTATCTAGTTAGCTAGATAAACACTGTAATTGCACATAGACTACAGTAAAATAAAGTGAAACCTGTATTTCCAATCTTATCCTGTCATAACTGAAAATGCATGCACCAGCACAGGGAAGTAGCCAACACACTATTAAGGAGTAACAACAAGTATAATGTGTTCGCTTTCTTGAGTAGGCAGCCTACATGGCAAACGGGTAAGTACTTTTCAAAGCACGGGAGTAATTTGAAACTATTGAGGGGTTGGTGGAGAAACAGTGACTTCTTATTGGTGCACTTCGCAGTGTAGGCTGCGCCCTCTTGACACTAGCAAACTCGAAGATCGATGGCACGTTTCTAGCGAGGGTTGGGAATGTGTGAACACGGAGAATACCTGACAAAAGCTGTGATATTTGTACGAGTGGAAAGGCGTGGGGAATGATTTCGGGGTGTTGCGTTTCTTCAGCAACTTCTACTCAAACGGAAAGTTGCAGCATTGCTCTAATCCGCATATCTTTACATTGCTGGTGTGAACAGGGAGAGGAGAGGAGCGCTGTCCCGTGCTGGATGGATGGTTATGGGGAAAGGAGCAGGACCATCGGCGCTACAAGTCTGCCAATCGCTTGTTGTGTTTCTCTGTTTGTTTCCAGCAGGTAAGGGGAAAAAACATTTATCTCTTTTTTTTTAAGCTTTAAGATTGGAAATGTGCGGTTCTCGGCATTTAACTGTCGAAGTAATAATGCAACATTGGTTAATTATAATCGCTACAAAAACACTTTTTAAGAGCAGGAGTTAAACATGTTGAAATGACGCCGAGCTTTGTTTTGCAGTTGGGTGTATTTTGTTTAGTCATGACCCAGTTACGTCTGGTGAAAGTTATTTATCTTTTCAGTGTACATTCCTTAATAATGTACGCTTGAGTAATGTTGTTGTTAATAACTTTCAAGTTTGCGCGACTCCTGCTGTAGGGGCTAAACCTTTTCGCATTGAAAAGATGCGAAAAAACAAATGTGGATGCAAAGCTAGAACGATTTTTTAGTTGTTTTATAGCCATTGTTTAAAGCGTAATGTTCGGAAGGTTCGGTTTGATTCTGCTGCACCAGTACCGCAGTGTTTCCCACAGCTCTGGCGGGGACGTGCTGTTGTGTTTGGGGGAGGGGAAGCGAGCGAACCCTCCACATCTATGCCTTCGCACGACTTGTTGCGGCAAAATGTCCAAAAACGATTTCAAAGTCTTTTAACACCGTTTTCAGTATAGTAAACATGTTTTTTAAATGCAATAAAAATCTAAAACTGGCATAATTATCTTTTTATATATGTGTAAGGTTAAATTCACTCAAATTAGTCTGCATTTACAGTACAGTAAATACTGGGTAGTACAACATGGATTTCACCGTGAACAGTAGTAGGAAAATACCGAAAATTGCAGTGTTGACTTGTAGAATCACAGACATTATCACTGTCTACACTACAGACTTGTGTTTACAGATTAGCTGCAATATTTTCATGTCCACAGTGCCATACTGACATTAAGTTCCCAGCCTATACTGTACTAGTAGTTGCTTACGTGTTTTGTAATGTTCAGTGTTTATCTAAAAATAATTATTGTCATCATTATTGAGATTTTTCTATAAAGAGTATTGATGTGCATTGCATATTTAGTTGACAACCTCTAAAATCACAAGTTTACCAAAGATCAGATCACCACAATATTGCACCTTCCCCTTAATTGGTGTATATAGTAGCATAATAACATTCAATCAATATGATAGTAATATCATATGATGTTAAAAGATAAATTACCAAGCCTGCATTGATTTTACAGTAAAATTCAGAGTACAGCATTGTTTCTAAGAAATTACTGCTCATAAAATCCTGGCATGTTTACAATGTAGTATAAGAAGAAAAAGCGAACGTGTGTACAAGAATGGACGTACTCTCGCATAATTATGGGTCAGCTGTGTTTTCTAAATGTGATTATTCATTTCTGTGTATCTTTACAAGTGTTGTTTTTATCTGTCAAGGTTCTAGTCAGTTTGTTCAGTTTGATTTCACACCCAGTGCTCCATCTTCTTTCACATTATTTAACGCCAAACAAAAGACAATCATGCAAGCGCTAGTCACTAACATCTTAAATTAGCCTATTGTCTCTTATCAGATGGTCATAAATGCCCTTTATAGGCTAGCTGGTAGGTGGAATACAGGTTTGTGATTTAGACAACAAAGATTGGTGCGTGATCATTTGGAAACAAAGATGTGTGTAGTTTTGGCATGTCTTTGTGTTTTATTAAACGAAAGAGATAATCTTCAAATAATGAAAAAAACACATGATTCTAAAGCCTTCGGATTTCAATTCAACTGTGTAATTCGAGGAAGGGGAATGCGCTTGAAATTGCTTTTGCCTTTGATTACGGCCTTTTGCTCTGGACAGGTGGCTATCTCATATCCAGTTTGACCTGTGGAATGGTGAGACCTTCCCTATGTTCCACCCATTGGTCCTGGAGCCAGTTTCTCTCCAGAGATCCTGTTTCTTTAAGGCTGTCCTCAGCCCCCTTTCCCTCCTGCCCTGCATGGCTGATGAAACTCTACCTAATCCCTTTACACAGGGCTAATTTATGACTCTGCTGGTTTCTTCTCAATGGCAAATTGCATTGTCTTCATTCAGAGTCCTAGGACTACACCCTCCCACACACACACACACACACACACACTCACAGCTACCCCCTTCTGTTAAAGCCCTAAGTGATTTTTTTTTCAGATGTGCATTTGCCCTCGGTCACTGACACCCATGGTGCTTTACTGAAAAGCACCCCCACAATCTGCTTAGCAATGCAAAGAGACAGCACAAGGTGTGAATGAGTGTGAATTTGATATGAGATGATTAGCACTTCTAAATAATAGACTTTTGTTGGCGTGAATGTCAGTTTGAAGGCTTCCTTCCAGTTTGTCTTACAGCTATTCATTTGTGTTGCACCTTAAACTGTGTGAAATTGCTAGATATCCAACTGGGAGCTTAATCAGCATTTTTTGATAAAGCATATCCCATTTACTAATATAAAGTGATGTCATTCATGGTGAGGTAATGAAGTTAGATAAGCCTGTCGAGAGTTCATTACGTTGTAACGATGCCTATTTAGATGCTTATTGCTTTACTTTTTGTATAACAATAGCTCTTAAGTGTTGAGCTTTAGTCCCCTGTGATATATATACACATACTGTAGTAATAATATTCTATTAACATTTTGAATTTCACAAAGTCAAGAATTGTTGATTCTACTCTAAAGTTTATGTTTCATATATTTTTGAAAGGGCAACAAGACAACAATAGCCTTACTTTATACTACATTTAGAGCACTTAGAGTTGATGGAAGTTGGCAAAACACAGAAACTTGGAACTTGGTTGGAATGTTGTTTTCTTTTTATTACTGATGGAATTAAAGCCTCACTTTGTCCAGATGTAGAGAGAATTCATGTGTTGTTATGAGGGCCTTGAGCAACTGGCATTCACGAACATAACATAATAAACTAAACTAAACTTAATTTAAAGGTTAGTACTGAAATAATTGAAATAAAAAAAGTAGTACTATCTGAAATGTGAATAAAAAGTGAAGATACTAAAATTAGGAAACATTCTTGATTAAAACGATGTTTATAAGCTTAATCAGTTTTGTCAGCTACATTGGTTGATGCTTATTTAATTTCATCTTTGTGTAAACTTAGTTTGACCATGCCAGTGTGTTTACGCTATCTCCCTTTTTGCATTACAGGAACTCTGCAGTGTAAGATCCTCAAGTGTAACTCCGAGTTCTGGGCCTCCACTTCCAGATCCGGCCCAGAAGAGGATCCCTGCACGGCTCTGCGAGCGTACAACAACTGCGTCCGTCGCACCGCCCGTAACTGTCGAGGTGACCTGGCCTACCATTCAGCCCAACATGGTATAGAGGATCTTATGAGCCAACACAACTGCTCCAAAGAAGGGCCCACATCCCAGCCTCGTGCCCGCACACCCCTGCCCCCAGTCCAGCCGCCGCCCCAACCGGACATCCACGTTGCCTCTGATGGGCCAGAGGTGTGCCATTATGAGCGGAGTCTACCACGTGATGCCACGCCTCCCAATTACACTCATTGCGGCTTTTTTGGGGACCCTCATCTCCGCACATTTAACGATGACTTTCAAACCTGTAAAGTTGAGGGAGCCTGGCCACTGATTCACAATAAGTACCTATCTGTGCAGGTTACGAACACTCCAGTTGTGCCTGGATCTTCTGCTACGGCTACTAGCAAGGTATGTGCCTCATATAAATAAGCAAAAGTCATTTTTAGCATCTAAAACTAGTTAATGGTTAAAGTGTGTTTTTACCAGTGGGAAGAGAAAGCAGACTTCTTAAGTGCTGAGTCTAGTTAGCATTTGGATCTGTTCCACAACAGATGAAGATGTGATAAGTCTGATTAATGATTTTTAAAGGAATGTCAGCAACAAAAGAGAGGTATTATCTTGCAATGTGACCAGGCTCAAGAGTCTTATTTATTTATTTATTTATTTATTTTGTGGGCTAATGTTACTATATCTGTGGCAGTCCTTGCCATTATTTGTGTGTGATTTAAAAGTTTTGTTGTTTTAACTAAGTGCTCAGTCCATACAGGAAACTGCTGATATTTTCTCTGCATTAGTTGGCCCTCATACCTCATAAATTATCATTGTTTTGCTTTACGGCTCATTGGGCAAACTGGGAAGCTGCCTTAGAATTAGCCAGCTGTGGAGCCTAAGGTGAAAGCACAAGACTACAAGTTTATGTCTGATGTCCTTTTGGCTGCAGTAATTTTGTTTTCTCTGCAGAAAAACACAAGTACTTTGTACTCAGTCACATTAAGAAACAGAGCAATTTTCTGTCATCAAAAACCTCTAATGATTCCCCATTAAGTAGAAAGACCCACAGTTCATTCTTGTAGGAAGGGAAGGGATCATGATATTTTTGTAAAGTTGGCTGTTTTTTAATTAAATAACAGTGGCTCACAGACAAAAGCGAATGTGCAAACTAGACATGATTCCTATAGCTTTAAACAAGCCTTGGTTGGGTGCTGTCAACAGGGGGCAGATCACTGCACCATTAGTGATTATAGGGCGGTTTGGCTAAACTGAGTCTCCACTCGGACGTTGACACACACTCATATGCATCATTTGCGAGATCAGAGCAGCCTGGACGTCCCGAGGTCACACATGTGTCAGCAGTCCGTTGGCCCCCTAATGTTAGCTCGCTGGAGGAGTCAAGAGGTAGGAGCAGCCTTCTCTAATTAGCCCATGTGCAGGCTGTGCTCTCTAGCTGGCGCAAGTCCACTCCCTGGAGCTGAATCCGGGGTTCACAGGCAGGCTCTGAGCAGCATGAATGGATTGTCTTTGTGTCTGCATACTGAGGCCTGCTGTAACATAGACTGGACCTGTGTTTCTCCAGAGTGCGTTTACATTGGCCCCCTGTATCTTGAGCTGCTGCTGAAATGTGACATTACGAAAGCTTCTGGGCTTGGAGGGTCTGCACTACACAGTCCTCTGGTTTTATAAAGACAAGGCTCAGTTATGCAGAATAGAGTAGTGACCATCTTTTGCCACATGCAATAGTGCATAAAGCACTGTCTGGCAGCTGTTTGTTGCCTGCTTTTGTTTTAACAAATATAGCATTTAAAATTTTGCACACTTTATTTGTTGTCTATTTTTCTCTAGAATCTGATTCTGGTGTTAAAGGAGTAGTTCACTTTTTTAAAAAAAAACTTTTGCTGATTATTTACTCACCCCCATGTCTTTCAAGATGTCCATGTCATTCTTTCTTCAGTCGGTTTTTGATGAAACATATCCAGGATTTTTTTTTCTCCATATAATGGACTTCAATGGGAATCAAACGGTTCAAGGTCCAAAAGACTGTTTCAGTGCAAACTGTTCAAAGGGCTTTAAACGATTCCAGACGATGAATAAGGGTCTTATCAAGCGAAACGATCGCTCATTTAAAAAATAAAAATAAAGTTTAAGTTTTACAAGCTCAAATGGTCGCCTTGCTCTGTTCTGTGATTCATGTTCATGACTCTCCTATTCGAACTCGTTCATCAAAACGAACAAATCTTTTCCCGAGTCAACTAGTTCATTTCGTTCGTTGAATGAACCAAATGACACACAAAAAAATTCTTTCATTTTGATAAATGAGTTCGAACAGGAGAGTCACGAACGCGCATCATAGAACAGAGCAAGGCGACCATTTGAGCTTTTTTTTTTTTTTTAAATGAGCGATCGTTTCGCTTGATATGACCCTTATTCATCGTCTGGAATCATTTAAAGCCCTTTGAACAGTTTGCACTGAAACTGTCTTTTGGACCTTGAACCGTTTGGTTACCAGTAAAGTGCATTATATGGAGAAAAAGCCTGCAATGTTTTCATCAAAAACCTTAATTTCTTTTCGACTGAAGAAAGAATGACATGGATATCTTAGATGACATGGGGGTGAGTAAATTATCAGCAAAAGTTTTTTTAAAGTGAACTACTCCTTTAACTTGCACAGATGATGCAATTCAGTTAATGTTTGTTTTCTGTTCCTGGTGTTTTAATCTATGTATGTCCAAAATAATAATTAATCTCAATATGGCACAATTTAAATAGACTTATCAATGATTTGTTCTCACTCTCACTTCTTTACCACAGTTAACAATCATCTTCAAGAACTTCCAAGAATGTGTAGACCAGAAGACGTACCATGCTGAAACTGACGAGCTTCCCGCTGCATTTGCTGATGGTTCAAAGAATGGAGGGGACCGCCACGGGGCCAACACCCTGCGTGTGGTAGAGAAGGTGCCCGGACAACATGTGGAGATCCAGGCACGCTATATTGGCACCACTATTGTAGTTCGGCAAGTTGGCCGCTACCTCACCTTTGCGGTGCGGATGCCAGAGGAGGTTGTGAATTCGGTGGAGGACCAGGATAACCAGGATCTTTACCTCTGCCTGCATGGTTGCCCTGGCAACCAGCGAATAGACTTCAGGACCTTCAGAGCACGGGCAGCAGAGAGCCACGGCTTAGGCAGGGGACGGCCTGGCAGTCCTAACCCTGGCTTCACTTATCAGTCAGCCATGGCCAAGTGCAAAGAACGTCTACCAGTGGAGGATTTGTACTTCCAATCCTGTGTTTTTGACCTTCTATCTTCCGGGGACATTAACTTCACCCTGGCGGCCTACTATGCCTTTGAGGATGTTAAAATGCTCCACTCCAACAAAGACAAATACCACCTCTATGAAAAGGATACAATATTCAACTCTGCCTCCGAAAAATTCCGTTTTAGTTTCCTAGTCCTCATCAGCCTTGTTGTCGTACAGTTATGGACTGGCTCGTGTTCCATTTGTCTCTAGTGCCCATTCTCGTTAGATGGTTGTCAGAAGCTGTATGCATGTGAAATGCTACTCTCACTGTGTTGTCTTCCATCTACCAGAGGCTGGGCTTCTCAGCTAGAGCCCGAGCTTCTGCTGAGGGCTTTCACACTTGTGTGTCTTGTATCACGCCATGGACTCATCTCTTATCATCACGTATGTTCATTCATAAGGCCAGAGCCGAAGCGTTCCTGGAGATCCAGCCATCTCTGCTGATCTCATAACTGCTCAATGACAGAGAAGGCAGTGCTGAGAGGGCCAGACGAAACCATCCTTGCTCTCGCCAGAGTGACGTGCCACTGACAGGAGTGAGAGACGGATGATCCTTGGCAGAAAGAAGAGTTTGGAGATGGTCTTCAGTTCACTTGATGCCAAGTGAGAGGTGAAGTATGTCTCCCGGAGCCAGGTTGAAGGACATGACAGGAGCTTTTATTAACGTCTCCAAACAATGGAGGGCCGGCAGGAGTTCTTTCTTTGAAGAAGCTCCAGATTTGGAAAAAGTAGCTTCCTAGTGAAAGCCCCCTGGCCTAGGCCGTGTCAGACTAGTAAGTCGTGTTGTCTACGGAGAAGATTAATAGGCCATAACATCATGCCTTTTGTATAGTTTGTCTATGTGTGTGCAAGAGAAAAATGTGTATGAATGCTTGTGTGTGAGTGTGTGAAGTGTTTCATAATAGCTGTATATTGCACCCAAGGTCCTAATGTAGCTCTGGTGTGGTGGTTCATGGGTCAGTAAGAAGTTTTACTGCCTGCCAAGAGCTCTTTCCTTACATTTTAAATATAAAATGGGGTGTCAAGCAGACTTTAAACTACACTCGTACTGCTTAGGTGTTATAATTTTTGAAAGAAAGAAAAATATTTATTGAATTCACTCCATTGTCAAATTGGGTGTTCGAATTCAGCCTGAACACTTTTCAGGCGCATTGAGAATAACTTTACTTTATTCACAAAGTAAATGCCATCGAATCGGGGGGGGGGAAAAATCAAGCCATACAATGGTGTGGCCCAAGACATAGCACAAAAATGTTTATGGAAAAAATATTCATGTCATTTTGCAGTAGGTAACGATCAACATATATATCCAGGAGAGAGCCAAGTCTCTCCATACAATATTTGCAGTTTGAGACGGGACCCACAAGGCAGATCCATCAATCATCCTTTCTATTTCTTAAAGAGCAACGCCTTGCTCTCCATTTCAAAAGGGTGTCGACGTGGCTGTGCTGTAGGCCCCGTTTAACTCGCGACTCTGTAGATCTGTGAATTTATGGCGAAGGCGTTTTGCCAAAGAACAAGCCATGGTGCCAACAATTTCCCAAACAGCTGAATTTTGTCTTTCTCATGGGGCCTTTGTGGTTCACTTAAGTATTTAGGCTCAGACCAGATGTCCTGATTGTGTCTAATATTGGAAGGTGCTGCTAACTACAGTGTGGTGGATGGACCAGTGCAGGAGCTGTTGTTTTCATCTGCATTCATGCATTTCTTGTGACATTTGAAATGAGGGCATTCGCTCTCCAGCTATTAGGAGGCTCAGGATTACTGGCAACTCAGTATTGTAAATAGCTGTAGTAGTTTTGGCGAGCTAAAGTCACACGATGCATAGCACCACTATTTTGAAGAGTGAAACTGCACCCTTGATGGTGTAATTATTTCATAGGCCATGTTTAGGGACTGTTGGAAAGGTCTTTGTGGAAGGTGAAGTTCACTTAACATCATCATGTCATCTGTCACAGTTGTCTCTTGCCAGTGTTTGATTTCTCTTAGTAAAAAGTTTGACCTTTGAAAGTATGGTTTAGATGTTAATTATAAACAAGGAATGCTTTGAGAGACTTCACGGTAATTTATTCTTACACTGTAAAGTTTTGCGAGCCTTACTACTGCTAAGAAAGCTTGTGTTGGTGCAGTTCATGGCTTTAAAGAGACATTTGAAAGCATACAAAATGATTGTAACGACTTTTGTGTTTAAGTGTGCTTGTGTTGTTAGTGCTTTTTGGATTTATATGTGTAACGTGACGTATACGTTTGTGTGATTTGGCAAATAATATTTTGTGCTGGTTTTTTTGGTACATCAGAGGGTGTAGTGAAATTTACCTTTAAGTTTAAAGGGATATTGTGTACACACAAACATCACAAAAACAGGATAAGGGACTTAGTACAATCTAATTTGGAAAAAAAGAGCAAAAAGGAGACAACCTTCCTAAAGAAACTAAATACTAGGTAGGAAACGTGTGACTTGCGGTGTTCATGTGTTGTTTATTACAAAAGCACTTTATGTTTTTATTCTCTTTAACCTAGCTCTTACATGGTTTTAACTTGATGGTGAAAAAGGTTATCAAACTTGTAACGCTAAAGAAAAGTGGATAACTTTTTCAAATGTATTAACATTGAATGGGAGATACCAGACAGCTTAGTCTGTTTTTCTATGTAGGACTAAAGCGGTGCCACACACCACCTGTAAATACTGTAAATTATTTATTGAATAAAAAATAAAGTGTCATGTTGATTTGTTTTATTATGTGTGGGTTTTTGTAGTCATGTTTCTTGTTTGAACTCATGTTTGACGATGGAAGTTACCACACCATTAGGTTTTTAGTCCAAGTATGTTGGGCTAAGACTGCCACCTGACGGTATAATGGGTAAATGCTGCTACATTTTAGACTACAACGATGACTAGTATATACAGAGGGCAATTCTTAACCCCCTCAGACCTGAATTATGTTTCAAGTTTCTGAAAAATATAAAAGTACATTTTCCCAGCTCATGAGGTTTCTATAAATGAAAACAAATGAAAAAAAAAATTATATAATTGCTTTCATTGTGATTTTTTTTTTTTTTTTGTCCATCCCAATGGACATCAGGTCAAAACAGGTGTACTTCCCAAAAATGTACCAACATGAAATAAATTAATAAACATAAAATTTGTTGGTCTATAGTTTAAGCTTTTTCTCAAGGTCAAAAAAATTCCAGCAGTTTACCATTTCAACTATAATTTTGAGGTTTTTGTTTTACAGATTGCACATTGTTTGTAACAAACTAAATATATTCGAATCAATCAATCTGGTCATATCATTTTCTGTGTGCATCTTTCTTTTTTTAGAACAAAAACTTGAACATTATAACATTACAACTTTAATCGCAAGGTTTTTCCTTTATATTGCACATTTGTTTATTCATAACAAAATAAACCTAGGAATCAATCAATGCATTCATGTTAGAGTCATTTCCTGTTAGAGTCATGTCCTACTGGCAGGACGTTGCCAGCAAGTCACTGTATTTCGATTTCCAGTAACTCTAGCTAGTCCAAGGCCGACAAAAAGGTCCATTCCGTCCTTGGGCCGTAGGCAAACGGACATGGGTTGGCGGACGAGTGCGCCGCCCCCCGAAATTTTTAGGGGACCGGCCGATGGTGGCCCCGGGCCTCGGCGAAAGGGGCGAGGCGGGCGGGCGGGTCGGGCATGCCTCGACCCCCCGGGGGGCTGACGGGAGGAGCCCGAAGTTTAGGGACCCCCGAGGCAGTTCCGCCAAGGCCCCCTCGGTGGAGCCACCCTCGAAACGTCCCATGAACCCACTATTCGTCCGACCGACCACTGCTTCCACAGGGCGTCCAGCGACCGGCCTCCCCCACCCACTGACACGCCCCCGTCCCACGAACCGACTATTTGTCCAATAACCCACTATATTTTCCAAATGTCACGGGACCAACCCCGGGCCACTCCCCCGTCCCACTAACCCACTATTTGTCCAATAACCCACTATATTTTTTAAAAGTTTTTCCGCAGTTAATTCAATATGCTGCAATTGGACGCGGTCCCACCGGCAATCTATTGAATGGGGATTCGGGTAGTGATTTTGATAGACATTTTTTTCTATTTTTAAATAAACTAACCCCGGCCTTCATGCAATAAGCTGCAATTGGACAGAATCCCACCAGCAATCTATTGAATGGGGATTTGGGTAGTGTATTTGATGGACATTTTAAATAAAGTTCCTGTCATAATGAAAACCATTTTACTGCACTCAGCTGGGGCCCCTGAGTCCGTAGCACCAAACGCCATCCCATACTTCCACCGTCCACGAACCCACTATTTTTATAATGGCATAATGCTACATGGGATGTCCATATCTCCGCTCTGGAAGGGTCTAGAGCCTCCACTTTTTCGGTGCAAAAAAAAACCGAAAGGGTCGTTTTTTTTGGGGGGGTCAAAATTTTGAGTTGCTCTGATCTTCTTGAAACTCTGGATTCTGATAGAGGGTCATGGGACTTAGACTTGAGTGCAAAAATGGAGGCACTAGAACCTTCCAGAGCTGAGATATTGAGATATTTATAATGGCATAAATGCTACGTGGGATCTCAATATCTCAGCTCTGGAAGGGTCTAAAGCCTCAATTTTGCACTCAGGTCTAAGTATCATGGCCCTCTATCAGAATCCAGAGTTTCAAGTAGATTGGAGAAACTTATTTTTTACTATTTTTATAATGGCATAATGCTACATGGGATGTCCATATCTCCACTCTGGAAGGGTCTCCCTTTTTCGGTGCAAAAAAAAACCAAAAGGGGTACCACTGTCGTTTTTTTTTTTTTGGGGTCGAAAAATTAAGTATCCCCAATCTTCTCAAAACTCTGGATTCTGATAGAGGGCCATGAGACTTAGACCTGAGTGCAACAATGGAGGCTCTAGACTCTTCCAGTGCTGAGATATCGAAACTCAAAATTTCGACCCGAAAAAAAAGCGACAGTGTTACCCTTACGTTTTTTTTTGGGGCGAAGTATTAAGTATCCCCAATCTTCTCAAAACTCTGGATTCTGATAGAGGGCCACTTAGACTTAGACCTGAGTGCAACAATGGAGGCTCTAGACTCTTCCAGAGCTGAGATATCGAAACTCAAAATTTCGACCCGAAAAAAAAACGACAGTGTTACCCCTTACGTTTTTTTTTGGGCGAAAAATTAAGTATCCCCAATCTTCTCAAAACTCTGGATTCTGATAGAGGGCCATGAGACTTAGACCTGAGTGCAAAAATGGAGGCTCTAGACCCTTCCAGAGCTGAGATATCGAAACTCAAAATTTCGACCCGAAAAAAAAACGACAGTGTTACCCCTTACGTTTTTTTTTTTTTGGGCGAAAAATTAAGTATCCCCAATCTTCTCAAAACTCTGGATTCTGATAGAGGGCCATGAGACTTAGACCTGAGTGCAAAAATGGAGGCTCTAGACCCTTCCAGAGCTGAGATATCGAAACTCAAAATTTCGACCCGAAAAAAAAACGACAGTGTTACCCCTTACGTTTTTTTTTTGGGCGAAAAATTAAGTATCCCCAATTTTCTCGAAACTCTGGATTCTGATAGAGGGCACTGAGACTTACACCTGAGTGCAAAAATGGAGGCTCTAGACCCTTCCAGAGCTGAGATATCGAAACTCAAAATTTCGACCCGAAAAAAAAACGACAGTGTTACCCCTTACGTTTTTTTTTTTTGGGCGAAAAATTAAGTATCCCAATCTTCTCGAAACTCTGGATTCTGATAGAGGGCATGAGACTTACACCTGAGTGCAAAAATGGAGGCTCTAGACCCTTCCAGAGCTGAGATATCGAAACTCAAAATTTCGACCCGAAAAAAAAACGACAGTGTTACCCCTTACGTTTTTTTTTTTGGGCGAAAAATTAAGTATCCCCAATCTTCTCGAAACTCTGGATTCTGATAGAGGGCACTGAGACTTACACCTGAGTGCAAAAATGGAGGCTCTAGACCCTTCCAGAGCTGAGATATCGAAACTCAAAATTTCGACCCGAAAAAAAAACGACAGTGTTACCCCTTACGTTTTTTTTTTGGGCGAAAAATTAAGTATCCCAATCTTCTCGAAACTCTGGATTCTGATAGAGGGCACTGAGACTTACACCTGAGTGCAAAAATGGAGGCTCTAGACCCTTCCAGAGCTGAGATATCGAAACTCAAAATTTCGACCCGAAAAAAAAACGACAGTGTTACCCCTTACGTTTTTTTTTTTTGGGCGAAAAATTAAGTATCCCCAATCTTCTCGAAACTCTGGATTCTGATAGAGGGCACTGAGACTTACACCTGAGTGCAAAAATGGAGGCTCTAGACCCTTCCAGAGCTGAGATATCGAAACTCAAAATTTCGACCCGAAAAAAAAACGACAGTGTTACCCCTTACGTTTTTTTTTTGGGGCGAAAAATTAAGTATCCCCAATCTTCTCGAAACTCTGGATTCTGATAGAGGGCACTGAGACTTAGACCTGAGTGCAAAAATGGAGGCTCTAGACCCTTCCAGAGCTGAGATATCGAAACTCAAAATTTCGACCCGAAAAAAAAACGACAGTGTTACCCCTTACGTTTTTTTTTTTTGGGCGAAAAATTAAGTATCCCCAATCTTCTCGAAACTCTGGATTCTGATAGAGGGCACTGAGACTTACACCTGAGTGCAAAAATGGAGGCTCTAGACCCTTCCAGAGCTGAGATATCGAAACTCAAAATTTCGACCCGAAAAAAAAAACGACAGTGTTACCCCTTACGTTTTTTTTTTTGGGCGAAAAATTAAGTATCCCCAATCTTCTCAAAACTCTGGATTCTGATAGAGGGCCATGAGACTTAGACCTGAGTGCAAAAATGGAGGCTCTAGACCCTTCCAGAGCTGAGATATCGAAACTCAAAATTTCGACCCGAAAAAAAAACGACAGTGTTACCCCTTACGTTTTTTTTTTTTGGGCGAAAAATTAAGTATCCCCAATCTTCTCGAAACTCTGGATTCTGATAGAGGGCCATGAGACTTACACCTGAGTGCAAAAATGGAGGCTCTAGACCCTTCCAGAGCTGAGATATCGAAACTCAAAATTTCGACCCGAAAAAAAAACGACAGTGTTACCCCTTACGTTTTTTTTTTTTGGGCGAAAAATTAAGTATCCCCAATCTTCTCAAAACTCTGGATTCTGATAGAGGGCATGAGACTTAGACCTGAGTGCAAAAATGGAGGCTCTAGACCCTTCCAGAGCTGAGATATCGAAACTCAAAATTTCGACCCGAAAAAAAAACGACAGTGTTACCCCTTACGTTTTTTTTTTGGGCGAAAAATTAAGTATCCCCAATCTTCTCAAAACTCTGGATTCTGATAGAGGGCATGAGACTTAGACCTGAGTGCAAAAATGGAGGCTCTAGACCCTTCCAGAGCTGAGATATCGAAACTCAAAATTTCGACCCGAAAAAAAAACGACAGTGTACCCCTTACGTTTTTTTTTTGGGCGAAAAATTAAGTATCCCCAATCTTCTCAAAACTCTGGATTCTGATAGAGGGCATGAGACTTAGACCTGAGTGCAAAAATGGAGGCTCTAGACCCTTCCAGAGCTGAGATATCGAAACTCAAAATTTCGACCCGAAAAAAAAACGACAGTGTTACCCCTTACGTTTTTTTTTTTTGGGGCGAAAAATTAAGTATCCCAATCTTCTCAAAACTCTGGATTCTGATAGAGGGCCATGAGACTTAGACCTGAGTGCAAAAATG